ACGACTTATATATTGTAATAGCATTTCACACGAAAATATGATTAAAAACTTATTTTATCTGGAAATTATTGGAACTACGAATTCCGGGGCGCGTTTGATTAACACATCTTTGCACTTACACAAATTTTAACTTTATCCTTAATATTTAAGAAAAGAAACGATTTTGTTATGTATTAATAAAAAATATTACATATATAATCCAGAAAATTCAGAGTAGAAATGTTCGAAAGCAAAACCAACTCACCAGTATTGTCAGTCCGTGCTCTGTGATGTGTACAGAGTTTAACAAATTGAACACACCCGTGAAACGTAAACTGTTTTTGTAAACAGGGCACGAGCTCTGTTATTGTTAATGTTTACGATTCACCGGGTGTCGCGGCTAGGATAAGGCTGTCCGAAGAATGTCACATTGTACCAGCCGCAGTAACTTTTCTGAACTACCTAGATATGACGTCATAATGGCATGTGACTTCAAGTCACTGCAAATTTGAGCAGACATGACGGGGAAAGTGTCATAACTTTTACATCCTTTCACATCACATGTAGAATTCTTTTACGTTGATGTTTAGTTCATGTGTCTGGATTGTTGTTTTAAGGCTGTTTTGATGGTGAATATTTGCAGTATAATATCGTTATTCCTTTTTCTTGTCTAACATGTACGTATTCAAACAATTACAAAAAAAATGTGAAACGCCCCCCTTACGCGTCTGTAGACAGAATGAGAATTTATAAATAAGTCTGACACAAGTGAATAATATGGATTAATTGAAGATATTCTGTGTGAATCTACTGGAGAAATATGTCCTCTAACTGAATTTTGCTTGGGGATTGTATGTAATTTATCCCGGCATTTTGTATAAATTGCGATGAAGAGTGGAAAATGACCCTTTGTATGTGGGTAAGTTGAATTTCTCGTGAAATATTTTCTTAAGAAAAAAAATTCAGACTTGCCCCCAGCACTTTATATACACCTAAGAATACGTTTAATTGATTTATGTAACAAGCCGTTCACAATAATTTCGTTTTTCACTTCTGCCATTGCGAGTTTTGAGCAACATTTAAGAAAATGTGTAAGTGTCCGTCACGTGATCAACACAGTCATGTCACATCACAGAAATCTTTTTTTATAATACCTTATTCAACTCTCTTTACAACTTAACTGTGTATGTATACATAGATTCCAAATTGAAATCAAAACATAGCTCAAAATAAAATAGTATATATCTAATGCATATTAAGCCTTCGGACAGCCTTAACATAGCTGCGGTGTTCAATTGTAAACTCTGCACACACCACTGAACACGGACTTACAATACTGTGAGTGGGTTTTGCTTTCGAACATTTCAACTCTGAATTTTCTGGGTTATAGTTTTAATAATTTTTTATTAATACACAACAAAATTGCCACTTTTCTTAAGTATTAAGAATAAAATTAAAATATGTGAAAGCGCAAGGATGTGTCAATCCAACTCGTCCAGAAATTCGAAGTTTTAAATGCTATAACAACATACAAGTCATGAAATTATACAGAAAATTTGAGAAAATATTTACCTTTAATCTGTGTCCAAGCACCTTTAAGCCAAAGACTACATAATTTATTTTTAAAAAGAAAGTAATGACAAATGCTCGTAAGAGGTCTTGTTAAAGGTGCTTGGACACAGATTTGAAGTTAATATTTTCTCAAATTTTCTGTATAATTTCATGACTTATATGTTGCTATAGAATTTCATACTAAAATATAATAAAAATCTTATTTCATCTCGAAGTTATAGAAACTTCAAATTTCTGGACGCGTTTGATTGACACATCCTTGCACTTTCACAAATTTTAATTTTATTCTTAATACTTAAGAAAAGTGGCAATTTTGTTGTGTATTAATGAAAAATATTAAAACTATAATCCAGAAAATTCAGAGTAGAAATGTTCGAAAGCAAAACCCACTCACAGTATTGTCAGTCCGTGCTCAGTGGTTTGTGCAGACTTTAACAATTGAACACACCCGGTGAATCGTAAACATTAACAATAACAGAGCTCGTGCCCTGTTTACAAAAACAGTTTACGTTTCAAGGGTGTAATTCAATTTGTTAAACTCTGTACACAACACTGTGCACGGGCTGGCGATATTAGTGAGGGGTTCGCTTTCGCACATTTCTACTCTGAATTTTCTGGATTATAGATGTAATGTTTTTCATTAATACACAACAAAATCGCTTCTTTTCTTAAATATTAAGGATAAAGATAAAATTTGTGAAAGTGTAAGGATGTGTTAATCAGACGCGTCCAGGAATTCGTAGTTCCAATAATTTCCAGATAAAATAAGTTTTTAATTATATTTTCGTGTGAAATGCTATTGCAATATATAAGTCGTTATATTATACAGAAAAATTGAGAAAATATTAACTTCAAATCTGTGTCTAAGCACCTTTAATTTCATTAATCTATTAGTGCATTTTTTTAAAATCCCAACTTACAATATTATGTAGTTTTTTTTTTTCACCTGAATAACACATATATCATATATGTATCGAATCATCATTAACATAATGTTAAAGGTGCATAGACACAGATTTGAAGATTACATTCTCTCAAATTTTCTGTATAATATCACAACTTATATGTTGCTATAGCATTTCACACGAAAATAAAATTAAAAACATTTAATCTGGAAATTATTGAAACTACGAATTTCGGGAGGCGTTTGATTAACACACCCTTGCACTTTCACAATTTTTAACTTTATCCTCAATACGTAAGAAAAGTAGCAATTTTGTTGTGTATTAATGAATAATATTACATCTATAATCCAGAAAATTCAGAGTAAAAATGTGCGAAAGCAAAACTCACTCACTTAATTATTGTCAGCCCGTGCTCAGTGTTGTGTAGTTGTGTACAGAGTTTAACAAATTGAATACACCCGTGAAACGTAACTGTTTTTGTAAACAGGGCACGAGCTCAGTTGTTGTTAATGTTTACGTTTCACCGGGTGTGTTCAATTGTTAAACTCTGCACACCACTGAGCACGGACTGACAATACTGGTGAGAGGTTTTTGCTTTCTATGTTTCTACTCTGAAATTTCTGCATTATAGTTTTAATATTTTTCATTAATAAACACCAAAATTGCTTCTTTTCTAAAGTAATAAGGATAAAGTTAAAATTTGTTAAAGTGCAGAGATGTGTCTATCAAACGCGTCTAGAAATTCGAAGTTTCAATAACTTCCAGATAAAATAAGATTTTTAACAAATTTTCGAATGAAATGCTATAGCAACATATAAGTCGTGCAATTATAAAGAAAATTTGAGTAAATATTTACTTCAAATCTGTGTCTAAGCACCTTTAATATTGATGCCCTTGTTACCTCATAATATTTGTAAGAAGCCTGCCTCGGTTTGTTCTTTCGCAGAGCAAGCTTTTGCGTATCAACTATGATCAATTACAACAAGAATGACTCTGACAGAAACAGTACAATTAACCCATTGATTAGACTGAAAAGAATCATAAAACAAACATTGTGAATAGATGACTAAAAAGTTATTTAATTCATACATTACATTCTTACAACAGATGTGAAATGTTTCCTGCAGGCACGAAGTATCGTTTTTGAAAGGGGGAACCGGAAAAATAATTGACATTTTTGACAAGCAAAAAGCATATATGGGTTGGCTGGGGTAGAGGTGTAGGTGGGGAATTAGATTCTGAATTTTTGGAAAATAAAATTTTTGTGTACAGTGACATTGGAGGATTTCACTATATTACAAAAAGTGTTTGGGGCGCTCTATCAATGTACATTTTCATATGAAATTAACAGTTAAAATATATGTTTGGGAAAAAATGGAGCACCCCCCTTCCTTTCGATACAACGTCCCTCTCATATAGATAAGACGATTTCATTCCCAAATTTTAGAAACACAAATCCATATTCCTAAAAAATGATATTGTATGCATATGTAGTACGACTGCTACCCCAAGAGGGGAATAATAAAATACTCTGCTCCTGGGACAGTCGGGTTCGGGGTGACTGTCACTTGTCAGTGACTATTTACTATATCTGAAACACAAAAAATAAGACAAAGATAGCAAAGATTTGATGGATGTTTATTTACAATGAATAAATATGAAAAACTGGTACTTCCAGTTGAACAAAGTGTAAATGAGAAAAAAAAATATATGATATGATTGATAATGAAAAATTAAGGGGGTTTAATTTTAATAATTTGGAAAATATAGATGTTTGAACTCTTTAAAAGAATTTTACTTGACTAATTAGTTGAATTAAGATTGGGCTTGGAATTCCTAATATTTGGATTAAGTATTACGCCTAATGTGAAGAGGATAAATTTTTGAGAGAAAAAATTAGTAAGTTATTAAAAGCAAACCTTAACATTTTCAGTATAAGACATATTTGATATTTTTCCTGGAAAAAGAATTCATCAAGTTCCTTTCAAAAGTTACATGTAATTTATGATTATTGTATTTATGGCAGCTGAATAGAAAATGAAATTCACCTTCAATCTCCCCTGTTTTGCAAATAACCCTGAATTTTCCATGGCGCTGAGTGTCGAGTAAAAGTCTAAATATGAAGCCCTTCACAAGTATCCGTTGACGTTTCATATAAGTGAAATAATTTTGCAAAGGACATCAGGAACTCTTACATGTAAATATTATACGGTATCAATTTCGATGCAACAGATGCGCATTTCGACAAATTGTCTCTTGAGTGATGCTCATGCCGAAACGTTGGAAATCCGAAATATTTAAATTTAGAAAGAAAACCTTTGAAGAGCTGAAAAAGGGGTGCCAAAGATTGGGACCAAATACGTCGAAGGATCGGAGCTAGTACTGAAGTGCATGTTTGATTTTTTATCCCAATTGCCTGTGTCAATAATGTTTTTTTTTTTATTTCTTTCACCAGTATATGTTCTTTTTTTCTTAGCTGACGACAGTTTTCATCTTTTTCGCATTCAAAGTTTTAAGCTTGGTCATTACAATATTGACTTTACATTACATTTCTCTTAATGCTTGAGTCATAGCATTCCAGAACTCCTCTGGAATATTTTTATCATATTCCAGATATGTTTGTTCTCTCATAACATCCTTCAGAAATTGCGGCAAGACAGCTCCAAGATCTCTGTCCACAAGAACAGCAAATAAAGTTGTTTCCCCATCTCTATAGATACTTTCCATTCGTGCCATTTGAGCCTCGTATATGCAAAATTCAGATTCGAGAAAAGCTTTACTCAGAAAACAGACAGTACGCTTGCTATTGTGAATAGCATTGGTTATGTTTTCTGCTATATTAACACCAATTATAAAGTCGCGAATGTGTATACAAAATTTGAAATTATTTTCTCTTTCTAGTTTCAACAGGTTTGGTATAAACTCTGCCCTTTCAATGTCAGCATAGGAAATGAAAGCATCAAATTGATACTCTCTATCTGAATTTAAGATCCTTGAATATCCTTTATAACTTCTCTTACCAGCGTAATACAAATAACGCAATTTCCATCTATACCTATACATTATTGCAAAGGATATAAGAATAATTGTGACCAGTAAAATAATGGTCACAGTCACTATTGTTGTTGTAAATGAAATACATTCCCGCTTTAATGAAGTGATAATCTGGTCTAAATGGCGCAGCTCGATCTTATTTTCATCTGTGAATATGCAAGTGTAATTCTCTCCATTAACGAAATTTTTATGTAATGATGCTTTCATCCATTTTAGGAATCTCATGCTTTGGCATGTACATTGTAATGGGTTATTTGACATCTGGATAGAGAGTTTTGTTCTCGGAGCATCTAAAAACCTCATTGATGTTGAATCCAACATTATAATTTTATTGAAAGACAAATCTATTCTTCGTAATTTTAAGGCAGCTGACAAATCAAAGGTGACACTTTCAAGTTCATTATTGCTTAAGTAGAGTTGCTCAATATTTGATGTAAACACAAACATATCTTTATGTATGAGAGTTATCCAGTTATAGGACAGATCCAGTACCTTCAAACCACGGAGAAGATCAAATACATGTTCAGCAGACTGACGCTGTAATTCTTTTCCTAAAAGATTTCTTGATAAATTCAAAAATACCAGTTTTGTCATTCCATGAAAAAACTGTTTAGTAATGTTGAAGCAGAAGTTGTTCGAGAAATCAAGGTATTCTAGACGCCAAAGTCCACTAAAATTTTGTACATCATATATCAGATTTCCCTGGATATACAGATGTGTTAATGAGTTGTTCGATCCGATTTCCGAGGTATCTATCAAAGGAAAATTTATTTTCCTATTAGCAATGCTTAGATATTTCAGCATGGGGGGTAATTGATAGGTCTTCCATTTCTTATTTATTGCTCCATTCACAATAGTCTCCCCCTTTTTGTTGTCACAACTGTTTGAATTGTAATTACAGTTTATATCAAAGATCGTGGCTCTTTTGGTTTTGTCACAATGTAACCTTTCTAGTTTTGAGAGAAAACCGCCCTCCAATAAATAATATCCACCAATCAGTGGGTTTTCACTAATATCTATGTACTTCAATGATTTCGGAAGGTATTTAAAAAGCAGATGCTCAATGATACCTATTCTGTTGTCTGCTAAGTGCAACTCTTTCAGAGAAGTATTTCTTAGATATTCTATATGTTCTATTTTTAATAACTGAGAAAGTCCATCTCTACAGTTAAGATTATTTGCGATGAGCGTCTGAATTTTTGTATATTGCAGATCATAGGTAATATTTGGTAATACTGATAAAGAAAGGCTTGGGTTTTGTGAAATGTTCAAGTACACGAGATCATTCATGTGTGCAAAGGCTCCTTTCTCAATGAATTTGATATGACAGTCAAATAATGTTAGATTTTTTAACTGCTGAAAAATTTTGAATGTGTCAATCTGGATGACATTAATAAAACAATATCCAGATCTACCAAATCTCTGTAATACAATAATTTGAATTGAATTATTTGCTTCAAATGCGTCCTCAAAATTATGCTTCCCTAATCCGTTTAATTCGATATGCCTTAATGACGAAAGTCCGTAAAAGCATTCTTTGGAGTAATTCATCTGCGATATCTCTGTACAATTATACCCCATAAGCAGAGTATCGAGTTTTGTAAGGTTTTCAAAAAAGCGCGATGGCCATATTGTATAATTTTGCCAGAGACAGTCAACATTCAACCATCGCAAATGTTTGTATCTTGAAAGGACTGCCTTTTTGGGATTTTGGATATTGTTTTCGCTTATATCTAGCCGCAGGATCTCTTGCGGCATATCAGTGGGGATTTCTGTGAGAGCATTGTTGTTAAGATAAATGTATCTCACATTATGTTGGAATTTTGGAGATTGAGTCAGGTTTAGCGAGCTACATTCTGCCCTCAATATCCTTCTGTCGTAAGAACACCTACATTTTGGCTCCGAAGAGCAGCTTAACTGTAGTATCTGCCTTAAAAATCCCAAGAAAACACAGAGTGATAGAGTTGCTTTGAACCACATTTTTCTTTTTTGTTACCCTTCTGATGTTTGGTCTGCAGAGAAAAAAAAGACGAGTTAAACAGGTCTGGACGATTTCCAAATATGGATATCTAGAACGATAACTAAAGGTTGCTATAAATATATTTCATATACAAGTAAATATTTTTCTGCTTATTCACGAAAACCGCATTAACTACATTAACACACCCTAAGACAGATTTCAAAGGAATAAAAATAGAACACATACTTTTGTTGTCTTGTTTTTTTTTTTTTTTTTTTTTTTTTTTTTTTTTTTTTTGGGAGGGGGTGTAAAAAGAATTTCTTTTACAAAAAAGTATTTTTTAGATTAAAGAAGAAAACTTTGACAAAATAAGATAATTCCCACATATTTACCATGAACGAACGTGACATTTTCAAGAAAACAACACATTCATGCATGTAACAATATACGAGCATTTACAGGGGAACTACGGAAGCTGGTTGGTGCCAGGTAGAAAAAAATATTTTATCTGGCAGCCGCCAGATAAATATTTGGCGGCCGCCATATAATTTTTCTGGTGGCCGCCAGAAATTATATGGTGACCGCCAAATAATTTTCTGGCGGCCGCCAGATAAATTATCTGACGGTCGCCAGATCTTTTTATCTGGCGTCCGCCAGAAAATTATTTGGCGGCCGCCAATTATTTATGCGGTGGTCGCCAGATAATTATATGGCGGCCGCCAGATAAAATATTTTTCTACCTGGCACCTACCGGCTTCTGTAGGGAACAGATCACACCGCCAAAATATTTATCAATACGATTATAACATATACCAGAAAATGCAGTCTGTTGGTAAATATGATTTTGCTTTGCCGACTGATTTTTATCGATAACGTGAAGAGGTCATGCGTATAAATCTACAGCAAGCAAGTGTTCATCGTTAAAATATCACGCGTTCCTTAAGTGCTTAAAACGATGTCACATATACATACACTGTTTCAACGGGCACAAGGAAAGGTGTACATTGGGGGAATGTAGAAGAATGGTTTCTATGACCATAACTTATCACGCTTCCCAGAAACTGAACAATTTTGATATACACAGGAAATAATTAAGACTGTTGTATCCCCAGCACCAAAACATCTTCAAACTGAAAATCTGCCTTACTCATATCCAATTCAAGTTAGTTGAACTAGTTAAACAAGTTAAACTATCTGTATTTCTACCTCATAGTAACAAATTTCAATCCGGTTTAGAATTTATTCTAAGCCTTCAAGTCGTGTTTGTTCACGATGGAATTGTTTTATATTTTGTATTATTTCTAAATGTTTATAAACTTTATCAAAAAATCTCTCGAGCAAAAGTTTTAAACCACGTGTTTAATTATATATATATATATATATATATATATATATATATATATATATATATATATATATATATATATATATATATATATATATATATATATATATATATATATATATATATAATGATAAACGCCTTGTTTACTCTGTGTATTTGTAGCAATTTACAGTTATTGTTCTTGACTTCTATATTTGGAAATCGTCCAAACCCGTTAAGAGAATGCAGTAATTTGCTTCACTTTGAGGTAAATAAAGATTAGTCCCTGATTGACAGTAAATCACATTTATGCATATATAGATTCAATATACAGTGACTTAGGGCTATTTTGAGAAAGATATTTGTAAATCTATATATTTTTTACAAAGCTAGCTATTTGAAATGTAGCTTCGATCTCATTATTTTAATCGTTTATTTTCTAAAACAAAATAAAATTTTCTCCCACCTGAAAACCAGATATCCAATTAAAATAATTACAGCATGTACTTAAATCTACAATTTGTTTGAAATTTCAAATTTATATTTCTCTTACCTATTTGTAATGCTGCTTCTAGATTAGTATCAGAAAGGCCTCCCAGATAAACAGTCTATTTTTTGTATAGGCATCGTTTAGATTTTTCGTGTCCTGTTTTGCAGTCTGTTATACAAGGTTTAATATAAAAATGAAACCAGGAGAACTCGTCTTTCCGCCCTTAGCCTTCCTTTTATTGCCAGACTTTTCTCTGTAATCAGGAAGTGCGCATCAATTGAACCAATGGCCAATTATTTGTTTATAAGTAACATATTAGACACACAATTTCTTGTTCCGAATCTATCAAAAACTGCATATATCCGTCGCAAAGTGTTTTCTAAAAAACACTGTAAATTTAAAAACGAAAATGATTATTACAATTAATGTGTAAATTTCTTACGATTGTTATTCAATGGAGTCAATGACATAAAGGTTTACCTAAAATATAAAGCAATATTATTCTTAAGACGGATAGTATTGTTTGATATTAGTCGTTATTTTTGTATAGGTAAATAAAGGAATGAGGTTAAAAAAGAAGAAGATATTTTTGATAGCATATGTTAAACTGGTCCTGTATACTTTTCATAGAAATCATGTTATTATATATATATATATATATATATATATATATATATATATATATATATATATATATATATATATATATATATATATATATATATATATATATATATATATATATATATATATATATAACATCATTCCACTAATTTTTGAGTGTCATTGAAAACCCCTTAAAATTTATGTACATTAAAGTTTTTTTTTCTTAACACATAAATTTGACTTACTGGTGCATACTGGTATTGCGCTCTCAAAATCTATAGGGTTTGGAATGAAATTAAATAAAGAAAAAAACAAAGAAAGATATACAATGTGACTCTTTCCATGTCCCAAAATTAAATGTTTTGAAATTTAGATTTACACAGTCAAATAATGCTGGTAGCATATTATTCTAGAAAACATCACTTGTTGTAAACCAGCTATTATTCGTGTCATCTTTTATTCGCGATTCGTCAGTTTAAAATCAATCCGCAACGATTAATCTTCGCGACTGAGGAATTATTCTCTACAAATAGAAAGCAAAATAAATGGTTCGCGGCGATTAATATTCGCGAATTAAAGTAGGTTGCGAAACTCGCGAATATTTCTAGCACGCAAATAAAGGTTGGTTTACAGTATTGTCCTTCTGTACATATTGTGACAAAATAAATGAAATAGCTTATGAGACACGTTTGTGTGATTTATAAACCAATAACATTCACAAAAATACATAAATAAAATCTTCAGGCAGCCCTAACTACGTTGCGACATGATGTACAGTGAGGGTAGGCACATAATGTAGCCGACGACAATATGATCCTGTTTAGCTTTTCAGCCGACGACAATATGTACTGATGGGTGACAATATGTGCATTGAGGATAGGTACATATTTTCGCCGACGACACTATGTACAGAACGACGTCGACAATATGTACCGTCACACAGCCTCTTCCTGTTCTTAGAAAAAGTAAAAAAGAAAAAAAATCGTTTTGAACATACTTTTTAATCCAAAACAAAGATCATTAGTTTGTAATTTCTATATACCTGTTCTGACATTTTATCTCACTGCAGCCTATTTTGGTATTTAGTGAAACTATTTCCAGCATCAAACTGATATTTTTTCAACTGAATCATAATGCACCAATAAAAGTTAATTTGTATTATACAAAGACTATATAAATTCTATTATATTACATACTGCTTACACACAATCTGGTGACTAAATGGACATACACCCCTCTCTTCCCCGTAAAGAGTATATTTTTCCACCTAAAATTCTACTTGATAAACTTTTTTCACATTTAACATTTTGATAATTTTTTTTATATGAAAAGAACCATGTACACATTTCAGTGAATTGTAACAATTTTTTGTGTTGCATGTTTCGTTTGTCGAAATAACGGCAGCGTTTCCTAATCATATTCATGTTTTATACATGTAGTTGTTAATTCTACACCACATACTTTACCATACACCAAGGTGGAATTCATTGTTTCAGTTTGTTATAGAAATATTTTGACAAAAAAATACATTCTTAAAAAATACATTCTTTAGGGATACAGTTTTGAAAATGCTTTAAATTTTATAATACTGCGAAAATTAATCACAAATGAACGAGTAATTACGAGAAAAAAGTAATCCATGGTAATCCATGTTTCCATCAAAAAGAAATTATTAATGTTATCAGCGCGATTCAAAGTATTTTCAAATTCATCATTTTCGTGTGCAAAGTGTATTCAGTCCAAATAAATTCGTCGTTTTTTACGAGAGTGGTTTAATTATCACGTTTCAATTTACTTATTTCCAGGCCCTTTGCCTCTGTATGTCGGTTCTCTATGAGTTCATTATTAGTTCTGAAAAAGTGAGCTATCTGTTGACTGTAAAAATTGCTTCTGACAATCTACTGATATAGGCCAATTTATGAGCAATTTGGGATTCTCCTATTGTTAAGCTTAATTACAACAAAGTTGTGAAACCTTGAGAAAACTGAAAAATACATTTTTCTCATCCTCCTGTACCTTAGGATAATTGTGAACACATTTCAAGGACAACACAACATCCTAGTCCTTACAATTTCCATTTGGTAATGACCTTTAAAAGATTCTAAGTGGAAGAATATGATAATATCAGGTATTGTACTAGATATTTCACATCCATTTATCTAAATGCTAGATTAATAAGATCAAGGTTATAACAATTCGAAGAAAAAAAAATTGAAACAGGATTTTATAAAACAGTGGAGGACTTGATAAACAGAAGCGGAATATGCTTTAAATTAGCATTAAAATGAACTCAAATCAATACTTTAACAATATATCAGATAAAGCTATCTAAAATTTGCGATTTTAAAATGATACGTCAAGGAGAGATTTTTTTTGATTTACTTCTGCATGGTTCATTTACTTTAAAACAGAATAATGACCAATAGATTGTCATGTAAAGAAGGGGTTAAAATATCGATCAAAATGTTATTTACTTACATATCAATAGATAAAGATCCTAAGTATATTAAGTGAGGGAAAAGGAAGGGGTTAAAATGGTAGCCATGATTTTTTTCTGTGTAAAAGTAAGGAAGAATTTATACAGCACAGTGGAGAGATAAGTCTTGTTATTTCAATTTAACGTTTAACCAGGCTGCACAGTTCAATTTTTATGCAAAACATTTAATTAAAAATAATTAATAAAATGTATATAGAAATTCGAATTCATTATCATTTCATCACTGAATTCGGGAAATACCTCAGTAAAGAAAAACGAAACCAACCAATAACACCATTGCCAATAGTAAGATCACATATAGAGAATAAAATGAAAGCTGGTTTTCGTTCGTTTGTTGTTCCCTCTCGAGAATTTTTTACGCCACCACTTGCAGGTGGAGGGCTTCAAATTTTGACATATACTCGGCACTTAGGGCCATTGAGCAGTGAGGGATCTTTTTCGTGCTAACACCTACTGCGACAGGGACCTCGGTTTATACTGTCTCATCCGAAGGACCCGTCTCCACGTCCCGCAGTGAAATCGATCCCGCGACTTAAGGATCTACTCCTTACACCGCGACTCTAGAGCAAACGCTCTAACCACTGCGCCACGCGGGCGATAATAGTAAATGGTGATTACAGAGAAACCTTTAAATAAAATATAGCTAACAAATGATCAAACATTTGTTTTGCACCTAAAGGACAAGGTATGTTAGGGCCGAATCTGGCCCCTTATTTGATGTAAAAATCAGAACACAGTTAAAATTGCAATAGTTTGTAGTAAAGAACCTAAAATGATGCCTGTTTTAAAAGTAACACTAATCTTTATTCAAAGCTTACACGGAGGGCGCAAAATGGTGCAGAAGTAGGCCATTTTCCCGAATTTCCTCAATTTGAAATACTTTTTACTTCAGAAAACATGGAGCACAAGATTGCCTATCTGAGATTTCTATGCACAAGATGCATTTGATACTAGTCTATGAAATATATAAATCTGGTAGATAGGCAAGCTTCTGCTCTATGTTTTTTGATACAAAATGTGCTGTAAAATAGATGAAAATTTGCATAAAAATGAGAAAATTCCGAAATTGACATATTTTCAGACCTTTGTGTGACCTTAGTGTATCCCATAACTAAGAACCAATATGTTTTTGTGGCAAGGGTGACAACAGGTTTTTATTGATAAACTGTTGCATCGTTCTAAAAGACACCCCATTCCAGAGGCCAAAAAGTGGTCTTAGCCGATCTTGTCCTTTACATTTGCAAGTGTTTTACTCAGTTATACAATACTCTTTTAGTAATGCAGATATATTTATGTCTTAAACAGTCAACGTAATTTTTCACTGATGTCATAAAGAACCGATGTGTGTCAAAAAGTAATACCGTTGAGTAGTGAAAGATTTATTAAAAAATTATAACCTCGCAGAAATGTATTAGGATTGGTCAGAAATGTATATACACTAGACAAACTTGCTAACGATCACCTAAAAAACTAATATTTTACTTTTCAAAGCTTGTTTTGGTGTATTTAATATAGAATTATATTACTAAAGTTAAAAAAATTGAGGCATTTAAATGTCCTAAATAAATAACTACAATTTTAACTGAAGCCTAACCATTCACTAGAATAAAACAAAATGAAAATCGTACTTATACTTTTTTGAGGAATAAAATTTCTATTTTTTATTATTGTATGTGCTGTTAAGGTTTTTAAAAATTAAAAAGGTCGGAAAAATATTATATCGTATTCGGCGTACCCTGAAGGACTAAAATTACGTTAAAATAACGTTTAAAATCTTTCTTATCCATTATGGTAATGGACATCTCATTCTTTAATCAAACAACCTTGTCATACTTAAAAAGAAGATTTAAGTTGGAGAATCTGGACATCGATCTAGGTACCTCTCACATGCTAAGCGAGCGCTCTTCCAATTGAGTTAATTCCCCACTATGTAATACATGAACAGTCAAATGAAAGGGATTATATTTTATCATTTAAAAAAATTACATCATGAAAATACACTTGAAAATGGCTTGTGCATTTAATCAGCAGAGTAAATGTTGAAAACAATCATCACTTAAAATATCACAAAGTATTTATATGGAACCTACAGATCATAGGATTCAAATTCACTCTAGTCACTTTAAAAGATTTCAGTTTTTAAAATTTTTTTTTAGTTTTTTTATGTTAATATGGTAGTTTATTACCAGGAAACTCTAAACACCACTCACTTAAGAGTGAAATGTACAGGAAAACAATATGAAATAGATTTAAGTATTATTAACATTATATTAGACGTTGCGAAAAGTAATTGAACATTTTATTTGCAAGTATTTTCACAATGTAAGTAAACATAAGTAATTTCTGTTTACTAATACTCATATGTCTTTTCACGTTTTCCCCGAAGAAATATGACAGGTGGAAAGCAGACTATGTAACCTTCAAATAATACATTTTTAAAAGTTCAAATAATATTTTTCACTAGTGTTTAGAGCTTCCTAAATAAGTTAATTTATCTTTATAGTTTACCATTTTAAATCAGTTAAAATGCTATCTTACCTTTATTTCAATAACAAAACTCGATTATAGCATATTATTTTAAGTCAATACACATGCCTTTTTGCTTGATATTTAATTGTTTTGTCCCATGTTAATTAATGTTATATGTCTGTTTCTATAAATCATGTCAAATTTTTTTGGAGAATCCGGGTGTCGATCCGGGTACCTCTCACATGCTAAGCGAGCGCGCGCTCTGCCACTTGAGCTAATTCCCCTCTATGTACATGTAATGATAATGATACATATCTTACCAAATCAAAAAGCCTAATAATGAAATGCTGTATTATTTTCCTTGTTAATAACAATTAAGCCAAAGACTACATAATTTATTTTTAAAAAGAAAGTAATGACAAATGCTCGTAAGAGGTCTTGTTAATTTCATTTATCTATTAGTTCATATATTTTAAAAAAAAATCCCAACTTACAATATTATATAGATTTTGCTTACCTGATTAACACATTATATCATATTTGTATCGAATCATCATTAACATAATGTTCATATTGATGCAATTGTTACCTCACAATATTTGTAAGAAGCCCGCCTTGGTTTGTGAACAAGCTCTTGCGTATCAACTATGATCAATTACAACGAGAATGACTCTGACAGAAACAGTACAATTAACTCATTGATTAGACTGAAAAGAGTTATGAAACAAACATTGTGAATAGATGACTAAAAATTTACTTAATTCATACATTACATTCTTACAACAGATGTGAAATGTTTCATGCAGGCACGAAGTATCGTTTTTGAAAGGGGGAACCGGAAAAATAATTGACATCTTTGACAAGCAAAAAAAAAAAAAAAGGAAAATTGCCCAAACTCAAAAATCTTACCATATGGGTTGGCTGGGGTAGAGGTGTAGGTGGGATGTTAGGTTCTGAATTTGGGGGGGGGATTTTTGTGACATTGGAGGATTTCACTATATTACAAAACGTCTTTGGGGCGCACTATCAATGAACATTTTCATATCAAATTAACAGTTAAATATGTTTGGGGAAAAATGGAGCCCCCCCCCCTTTCGATACTACGTGCCTGTCATATAGATAAGATGGTTTCATTACCAAATTTTAGAAACACAAATCCATATTCCTAGAAAATGACATTGTATGCATATGTAGTACGACTGCTACCTCAAGAGGGGAATAATAAAATACTCTGCTCCTGGGACAGTCGGGTTCGGGGTGACTGTCACTTGTCAGTGACTATTTACTATATCTGAACCACACAAAATAAGACAAAGATAACAAAAATTTGATGGATGTTTATTTACAATGAATAAATATGAAAAACTGGTACTTCCAGTTGAACAAAGTGTAAATGAGAATATATATATATATATATATATATATATATATATATATATATATATATATATATATATATATATATATATATATATATATATATATATATATATATATATATATATATATATATATATATATATATATATATATAAATGATTGATAATGAAATTTTGAGGGGGTTTAATTTTAATAATTTGGAAAATACAGATGTTTGAACTCTATTAAGAATTTTACTTGACTAATTAGTTGAATTTGGATCGGACTCGGAATTCCTTATATTTAGATTAAGTATGACGCTAATGTGAAGAGAATAAATTTTTGAGAGAAAAAATTAGTAAGTTATTAAAAGCAAAGCTTAACTTTTTGAGTATAACACATATTTGATATTTTTCCTTGAAAAAAATTCATCAATTCCTTTCAAAAGTTAATTTATGATTATTGTATTTATGGCAGCTGAATAGAAAATGAAATTCATTTTCAATCTCCCCCTGTGTTGCAAATAACCCTGAATTTTCCATGGCGCTGAGTGTCGAGTAAAAGTCTAAATATGAAGCCCTTCATAGGTATCTATTGACGTTTCATTTAAGTGAAATAATTTTGCAAAGGACATCAGGAACATTTACATGTAAATATTATACGGTATCAATTTCGATGCAACAGATGCGCATTTCGACAAATTGTCTCTTGAGTGATGCTCATGCCGAAATGTTGGAAATCCGAAATATTTAAATTTAGAAAGAAAACCTTTGAAGAGCTGAAAATGGGGTGCCAAAGCCTGGGGCCAAATACGTCGAAGAATCGGAGCTATGCCTGAGGGAGATAATCCTTAATTTTGAAATACATTGATAAATTTTACCACAGCAATTAAATATATATCGGTATTTTCAAGCTAGTACCGAAGTACATGTTTGATTTTTTTTTTATCCCGATTGCCTGTGTCAATAATATGTTTTTTTTTTATTTCTTTCACCAGTATTTAAATATGCTCTTTTTTTTCTTAGCTGACGTCGGTTTTCATCTTTTTCGCATTCAAAGTTTTAAGCTTGGTCATTCCAATATTGACTTTACATTACATTTCTCTTAATGCCTGAGTCATAGCATTCCAGAACTCCTCTGGAATATTTTTATCATATTCCAGATATGTTTTTTCTCTCATTACATCCTTTAGAAATTGCGGCAAGACAGCTCCAAGATCTCTGTCCACAAGAACAGCAAATAAAGTTGTTTCCCCATCTCTATAGATACTTTCCATTCGGGCCATTTGAGCCTCGTATATGCAAAATTCAGATTCGAGAAAAGCTTTACTCAGAAAACAGACAGTACGCTTGCTATTGTGAATAGCATTGGTTATGTTTTCTGCTATATTAACACCAATTATAAAGTCGCGAATGTGTATACAAAATTTGAAATTATTTTCTCTTTCTAGTTTCAACAGGTTTGGTATAAACTCTGCCCTTTCAATGTCAGCATAGGAAATGAAAGCATCAAATTGATACTCTCTACCTGAATTTAAGATTCTTGAATATCCTTTATAACTTCTCTTACCAGCGTAATACAAATAACGCAATTTCCATCTATACCTATACATTATTGCAAAGGATATAAGAATAATTGTGACCAGTAAAATAATGGTCACAGTCACTATTGTTGTTGTAAATGAAATACATTCCCGCTTTAATGAAGTGATAATCTGGTCTAAATGGCGCAGCTCGATCTTATTTTCATCTGTGAATATGCAAGTGTAATTCTCTCCATTAACGAAATTTTTATGTAATGATGCTTTCATCCATTTCAGGAATTTCATGCTTTGGCATGTACATTGTAATGGGTTATTTGACATCTGGATAGAGAGTTTTGTTCTCGGAGCATCTAAAAACCTCATTGATGTTGAATCCAACATTATAATTTTATTGAAAGACAAATCTATTCTTCGTAATTTTAAGGCAGCTGACAAATCAAAGGTGACACTTTCAAGTTCATTATTGCTTAAGTAGAGTTGCTCAATATTTGATGTAAACACAAACATATCTTTATGTATGAGAGTTATCCAGTTATAGGACAGATCCAGTACCTTCAAACCACGGAGATGATCAAATACATGTTCAGCAGACTGACGCTGTAATTCTTTTCCTAAAAGATTTCTTGATAAATTCAAAAATACCAGTTTTGTCATTCCATGAAAAAACTGTTTAGTAATGTTGAAGCAGAAGTTGTTCGAGAAATCAAGGTATTCTAGACGCCAAAGTCCACTAAAATTTTGTACATCATATATCAGATTTCCCTGGATATACAGATGTGTTAATGAGTTGTTCGATCCGATTTCCAAGGTATCTATCAAAGGAAAATTTATTTTCCTATTAGCAATGCTTAGATATTTCAGCATTTGGGGTAATTGATAGATCCTCCATTTCTTATTTATTGCTCCATTCACAATAGTTTCCCCCTTTTTGTTGTCACAACTGTTTGAATTGTAATTACAGTTTATATCAAAGATCGTGACTCTTTTGGTTTCGTCACATTGTAACCTTTCTAGTTTTGAGAGAAAACCGCCCTCCAATAAATAATATCCACCAATCAGTGGGTTTTCACTAATATCTATGTACTTCAATGATTTCGGAAGGTATTTAAAAAGCAGATGCTCAATGATACCTATTCTGTTGTCTGCTAAGTGCAACTCTTTCAGAGAAGTATTTCTTAGATATTCTATATGTTCTATTTTTAATAACTGAGAAAGTCCATCTCTACAGTTAAGATTATTTGCGATGAGCGTCTGAATTTTTGTATATTGCAGATCATAGGTAATATTTGGTAATACGGATAAAGAAAGGCTTGGGTTTTGTGAAATGTTCAAGTACACGAGATCATTTATGTGTGCAAAGGCTCCCTTCTCAATGAATTTGATTTGACAGTCAAATAATGTTAGATTTTTTAACTGCTGAAAAATTTTGAATGTGTCAATCTGGATGACATTAATAATACAAAATCCAGATCTACCAAATGTCTTTAATACAATAATTTGAATTGAATTATTTGCTTCAAATGCGTCCTCAAAATTAAGCTCCCCTAATCCGTTTAATTCGATATGCCTTAATGACGAAAGTCCGTAAAAGCATTCTTTGGAGTAATTCATCTGCGATATCTCTGTACAATTATACCCCATAAGCAGAGTATCGAGTTTTGTAAGGTTTTCAAAAAAGCGCGATGGCCATATTGTATAATTTTGCCAGAGACAGTCAACATTCAACCATCGCAAATGTTTGTATCTTGAAAGGACTGCCTTTTTGGGATTTTGGATATTGTTTTCGCTTATATCTAGCCGCAGGATCTCTTGCGGCATATCAGTGGGGATTTCTGTGAGAGCATTGTTGTTAAGATAAATGTATCTCACATTATGTTGGAATTTTGGAGATTGAGTCAGGTTTAGCGAGCTACAGTCTGCCCTCAGTATCCTTCTGTCGTAAGAACACCTACATTTTGGCTCTGAAGAGCAGCTTAACTGTAGTATCTGCCTTAAAAATCCCAAGAAAACACAGAGTGATAGAGTTGCTTTGAACCACATTTTTCTTTTTTGTTATCCTTCTGATCTTTGGTCTGCAGAGAAAAAAAGACGAGTTAAACAGGTCTGGACGATTTCCAAATATGGAAGTCTAGAACGATAACTAAAGGTTGCTATAAATATATTTCATATACAAGTAAATATTTTTCTGCTTATTCACGAAACCCGCATTAACACACTCTAAAACAGATTTCAAAGGAATAAAAATAGAACACATACTTTTGTTGTGTATTTTTTTCTAAAAAGAATTTCTTTTACAAAAAACTATTTTTTTAGATGAAAGAAGAAAACTTTGACAAAATAAGATAACTCCCATATATTTACCATGACATTTTTTCAAGAAAACAACACACTTATGCATGTAACAATATACGAGCATTTACAGGGGAACTACGGAAGCCGGTTGGTGCCAGGTAGAAAAAATATTTTATCTGGCGGCCGCCAGAAATTATATGGTGACCGCCAAATAATTTTCTGGCGGCCGCCAGATAAATTATCTGACGGTCGCCAGATCTTTTTATCTGGCGGCCGCCAATTATTTATGCCGTGGCCGCCAGATAATTATATGGCGGCCGCCAGATAAAATATTTTTCTACCTGGCACCTACCGGCTTCTGTAGGGAACAGATCACACCGCCAAAATATTTATCAATACGATTATAACATATACCAGAAAATGCAGTCTGTTGGTAAATATGATTTTGCTTTGCCGACTGATTTTTATCGATAACGCGAAGTGGTATAAATCTACAGCAAGCAAGTGTCCATCGTTAAAAAATCACGCGTTCCTTAAGTGCTTAAAACGATGTCACATATACACTGTTTAAACGGGCACAAGGAAAGGTGTACATTAGGGGAATGTAGATTAATGGTTTCTATGACCATAACTTGTCACGCTTCCCAGAAACTGAACAATTTTGATATACACAGGAAATAATTAAGACTGTTGTATCCCCAGCACCAAAACATCTTCAAACTGAAAATCTGCCTTACTCATATCCAATTCAAGTTAGTTGAACTAGTTAAACAAGTTAAACTATCTGTATTTCTACCTCATAGTGACAAATTTCAATCCGGTTTAGAATTTATTCTAAGCCTTCAAGTCGTGTTACCGTTCACGGTAGCTCAGTCGGTAGAGCGCTCGCTTCGTGATCGGGAGGTCGTGAGTTCGAATCTCGGCCGCGACTGACCTAAGTCGATAAAAAATGGGTAGCAACTGTTCCTTCACCATGCGCTCTGCACTTTGAAGTGAAAGTTGCGGGTCCTTTGGATGGGACCTTAAAAACCGAGGCCCCGTGTCACGGCAAACGTTGGCACGATAAAGATCCCTCAATGCTCAATGGCCCTGAGTGCCGAGTAAAGGTCAAAATTTGAAGCCCTTCACCGGTATATGGTGACGTCTCTATATGAGTGAAAAATTCTCGAATGGGACGTAAAACTACATACAATCAATCAATAGATCAAGTCGTGTTTGTTCACGGTGGAATTGTTTTATATTTTGTATTATTCCTAAATGTTTATAAAGTTTATCAAAAAATCTTTCGAGCAAAGTTTCAAACCACGTGTTTAATTATATGTATATATTTTCTCATGGGTTTGACTAAAGGCTGGTATCTGATTGGTCAGAATGATAAACGCCTCGTTTACTCTGTGTATTTATAGCAATATACAGTTATTGTTCTTGACTTCTAAATTTGGAAATCGTCCAAACCCGTTAAGAGAATGCAGTAATTTGCTTCACTTTGAGGTAAATAAAGGTTAGTCCCTGATTGACAGTAAATCACATTTATGCATATATAGATTCAATATATACAGTGACTTAGGGTTATTTTGAGAAAGATATTTGTAAATCTATATCTTTTTTACAAAGCTAGCTATTTGAAATGTAGCGTCGATCTCATTATTTTAATCGTTTATTTTCTAAAACAAAATAAAATTTTCTCCCACCTGAAAATCAGATATCCAATTAAAATAACTACAGCATGTACTTAAATCTACAATTTGTTTGAAATTTCAAATTTATATTTCTCTTACCTATTTGTAATGCTGCTCCTAGATTAGTATCAGAAAGGCGTCCCAAATAAACAGTCTATTTTTTTGTATAGGCATCGTTTAGATTTTTCGTGTCCTGTTTTGCAGTCTGTTATACAAGGTTTAATATAAAAATGAAACCAGGAGAACTCGTCTTTCCGCCCTTAGCCTTCATTTTATTGCCAGACTTTTCTCTGTAATCAGGAAGTTCGCATCAATTGAACCAATGGCCAATTATTTATTTATAAGTAACATATTAGACACACAATTTCTTGTTCCGAATCTATCAAAAACTGCATATATCCGTCGCAAAGTGTTTTCTAAAAAAAAACACTGTAAATTTAAAAACGAAAATGTTTATTACAATTAATGTGTAAATTTCTTACGATTGTTAATCAATGGAGTCAATGAGACTAAAGGTTTACCTAAAATATAAAGCAATATTATTCTTAAGACGGATAGTATTGTTTGATATTAATCGTTATTTTTGTATGGATAAAGGAATGAGGTTAAAAAAAAAGAAGATATTTTTTGATAGCATATGTTAAACTGGTCCTGTATACTTTTCATAGAAATGATGTTATTATATATATATATATATATATATATATATATATATATATATATATATATATATATATATATATATATATATATATATAACATCATTCCACTAATTTTTGAGTGTCATTGAAAATCCCTTAAAAATTTATGTACATTAAAGTTTATTTTCTTAAAACATAAATTTGATTTACTGGTGCATACTGGTATTGCGCTCTCAAAATCTACAGGGTTTGGAATGAAATTATTTCAAATAAAATAAAGAAAAAAACAAAGAAAGATATACAAAGTGACTCTTTCCATGTCCCAAAATGAAATGTTTTGAAAATTTAGATTTACACAGTCAAATGATGCTGGTGCATATTATTCTAGAAAACATCACTTATAGAGGTGTCTTTTACTGTTTTCACATCTCCTAGCCATGATTCAATTTAAATGCATTATATTGTAGACTAAAAATAAGTTGTAATCACTTTTTCAAATTATTCATATGTGTAAAATGAAAGAAATGCAATGTAGAATCTCATAAAAATACATGAACTATTATTCATGCCAAATATGATATGCTCTTTTGCAAATACGATCTTTTTATCGTGAATTTTTGTGTAATTTATAAAGCTTGATATTCATTTTCTGCAGCCCATGATAGGTGGTTTTGCGAATAGGATGTGTGTCAATTGCAGATTTCTTTATGTTTGGGGGTGGTGGTAGTAGCAGCCTGTGACAGTACATGCTGTAAACCAACTATTATTCGTGTCATTTTTTATTCGCGATTCGTCAAGTTAAAATCAATCCGCAACGATTAATCTTCGCGACTGAGGAATTATTCTCTACAACTAGAAAGCAAAATAAATGGTTCGCGGCGATTAATATTCGCGAGTTAAAGTGGGTTGCGAAACTCGCGAATATTTCTAGCACGCAAATAAAGGTTGGTTTACAGTATTGTCCTTCTGTACATATTGTGACAAAATAAATCGCATGAAATAGCCTACGAGACACGTCTGTGTGATTTACACACCAATAACA